AAAACATCATTGTAATCAGAGTTGTACGAGATGGGGCTGAGGATATAAGTAATTTTCGAAAGAAAGGATCATTTAAATGTTTATGTGATATCCCGCGTAAGTGAGCAGACACAGAAGAAATGAACTAAACCTTGAAGGACGCTCACCTTATTGCCTCTGAAGGATACGTTACAGAAAACCAAGATGTCTCACGAGTAACCATCACTGGCAAATCCAGCCTGTACGGGGTTTTGTTTTGATCCTTGTTCACATCAGAATATTCCTAGAATAGTAGATTGGAAATGAGAAGAAAATGAAAAAGTAAATTTTCTAGAAAGAACAGAGGAAAGATGCTGGAGAATAAGTGACAAAGGGGAGCATCTATGAGCAACAGAAGACTCAAAGCAACAACTCAAAAAATGTTTGTTAAGTGAATAATATAAAAGAAGCCTGAATATTTTAGATTTAATCCAAAATGTGATGCAAAGCCTTTGATAACCTCCCAGTAATTTATCAGAAGGGCATGAGTGAAAAGCATATTTTTCAATATACTTAGGAAAGAAATAGAGTATCTACCTTTCAGTCCTGTCCTCAGCTATTGTGTGCCCCCAAGCAGTCAAGTAATACTGCATTTATCCGTAAAGTGTAGATTATTATTCCTACCCACGTTAGAGTAATTTTGTAAAGATAATTGATATCACCTGAAAGGGCTTTAGAAACTATTAAGTATCACGCAACTGTTTAGAACTTTATTTTTATTTTCAGGAGTTAAGGAGATACCTAAGGAATAAAAGGTACTCTTTTTTTAATAATGCAGAGATGAGCGATGATCCAAGCATCTAGATGCTATCATAATTACTTAGAAAATGACCTGTCTGGTGTTTTATGACCCTTATTGCTCAGAAAAGTTTTATAGCATATGGTAGCCTCTTTAAAGCCTAAATAAATGTGATTATGTAAAGGAAAAGGAAAACAGACCAAAGTGGTATTAAGGGTATTCTAAAAATGTAAGTTAACCCCACTGACTCAGTTTTTTGAGCAAGAAAAAAAAAAAAAAAACTGGTTTCCTCTGCTTCTGCTCTCCACCCACGTGGCATCACAAAGAGTTCCAGATGTGGTTGAAGCACATCTGTAAAGGTGCAAGGAATCGAGTCTACCTACGCTGATCACCAGAATATTACCCGTCGTCATCAGTTGGACCCAGCTTATGGCTGTTCCTCTCCCTCGGGTCTTAAGGAAGACAGCCCAACAATTACCGAGAATGAATATAGGTGGAAACTGACCTTCACAGTTTCCTTGGCTGTGAACTCAGGCATATTTATAAAATATACAACAGAAATATGCCCTTTGATTGTTGTTTAAATTTGAATGCTCCCCTCATGAGTGAAATGGTAAAAGTCCATCCTACTTGATTCAGGTCCTTCTCTTTTCTCATGTTGGTTCTGAGTCCCCTGCTGTTGGAGCCTTTTTATGGCTCCAGATGATCCGAGTGATCAGAGCAATGGCAAACCTTCCAACTTGGGTGGTTGTAAGCCAGTTCTACCACACCTCACACCCCTAGATCACGGCTAATAAGAGCAAGCCTCAGACAACTCAAACACTGTTCACGACACATACTCAAGGACACACCTCATTTCCCCTCTCGCCTTTTCTTTCTTTCTTTTTTTTTTTTAACTTTATTTATTTATTTATTTGTCAGAAAGAGCACACAAGCAGGGGGAGTGGGAGGCAGAGGGAAAAGCAGGCTTCTGGCTGAATAAAGAGCCTGATGTGGGACTTGATCCCAGGATTCTGGGATCATGACCCGAGCTGAAGGCAGATGCTTAAACAACTGAGCCACCCAGGCACCCCTAACTTATTTTATTGAAATTCAGTTAGTCAACATATAGTGTATTGTTAGTTTCAAATATTCATCTAGTGATTCATCCACTGAATATAATGGCCAGTGCTCATTACATCGCACGCCCTCCTTAATGCCCCTCACCCAGTTACCCCATCCCCCCACCCACCTCCCCTCCAGCAACCCTCAGTTTGTTCCCTATAGTTAAGAGTCTCTTATGGCTTTTTCTCGTGTCTTAGAATGGTCTACATTGCTCCCAACTCAAGCTTTATTTTCCATTTTTGGTCCTGATTCTATCCATTGGACTAGAAGACTCATCCTGGTTTCTTCTAGTTATCCCTTGGTTCACTCCATAATACTTGGTTTGTAATTACATCTGTTTTTTTCTGCTGTCCATCTCAAACTCCTGGAAACCAGCCAAGGAAATATTTCATAACACCATTAAAAGCAATAAAGCTGAGTTTGACTTAGATCTCAATTTCAGTGGAGGAGACCTTACCACTTACATCTGCTGCGATCTCATTCTACTCTAGCCCACTCTATTCTCCAGCACCAGGGTGGGGACCATCCTACGGAAAGGGAACCTCAGAACAAGGAAACGCTAATACTGTGAACACCTCTCAGCAAACTAGTCCTTAACTAAGTCTCATTGTTGACAAGAGCAAACTCAAATGAAAAGGAATTTAGATACTATCTGCAGTGACTCTCCAATCACAGGCAATAATTTCTCAAAATACAAACTTTAAATATAGTTGCCACTCAATTACGGTATAGCTCTTCTGATAGCATTTATATTAGCTAATGTACAAATGTGGGTAATTCAGAAAACAAAGGAGTTTCCTTCTCTTTTAGTCCATCTTCTGTAAAGTTCTGTAAAACTGGTAAAGTTTCATAGTTGTCCCAAATCACACGCTTCCTGTTTTTCTTTCTCCTACACCACATGACTTAGAAGAATTATAAAGAAAATCCTGAAGTTTTTCAAGGGCTTTTAATTTTCTTCTTCCATGCCGTATGTCTTACCCAGGGCTCTACATGCTGTATTTCATTTTATCCTCACACTAATTGTATGAAATAAGTATTTTAATTCCTATCTTAAGAGTGTTAAATGATTTAAGGTCACACAGTTGGCCTTAAAATGGTCAAAGCAGCATTTGAACCTTGATCCTTCTAACATCAGGGCCTTTGTTCTTGCGCTGTTCCATGTTTGATGAGAAGAGAAATTCAGCCTCAAAAAAGTGTTCTCAAGATAAAAAGGAATGAGGTATTACGCTATAAAAATACAGGGAGGCACCTCAAATGCACAGTATGGAGGGAGAGAAGCCAATCAGGAAAGGCTACATACTGAGTCCAACTATATGATGTTTTCGAAAAGGCAAAACTATGGGAACAGTAAAAAGATCAGTAGTTGCCAGAGACTGGGGGAGGGTGGGATAAAAGACAGAACCCAGAGGATTTTTAGGACAGTGAGACTCTTCTGTATGACACTAACATTGTGGATGCATGTCATTATATGTTCATCAAAACACATAGTTTAAAAGGCCAAACCCTAATGTGAACTCTGGACTCCAGGTGGTAAGGATGAATCAATGTAGATTTACCAGTTGCAACAAATGTCCCATTCTGGTGTAAGCCGTTGACAGTATGAGAGGTTGTGCATGTGTGGAGACAGAAGCTATATACGAACTCTCTGTACTTTCTGCTCAATTTTGCCATAAACTTAAAACTGCCCTAAAAAATAAAAATCTGTTAAATAAAGATCTCCCCCACTAAAAGACATCATAGACTTGATGTTATTTCAAACCTTGCTTGATTTTCTACCTGTGGCACTTAAGATACTAAAAAGAAAATAAAAACTAGTCGAAGGTAAGCTAGTATAGAATGTGACTCTAGAAGTGAAGCTATCCACAGGCATCCTAATTCAGTCTCAATTTCCCTTTCTCTATCCTCCCTGTCATCTACATTGCCTGCCTTTCATTGTTTTACCTCTTTTATCCCTACCACACAACCTTCATATCCAGGAGTGGAAAAGAAAAAAATAAAAACAAAATCTTTTAACAGTGCTCTAAGTATTTACGGTCTCCCCAACTACTGCTTCCAAAACCTTGTGGTGTAAAGCAACCATTTATTATGCTCATGGGTCTGTGAGTAAGATTTCAGACAGGGCACTGTGAGGATGGCTTTTGTCTGATCCCTGATATCATGGCCCTCAACTGGGCAGACTCCACGACTGGGCTGACTGAGCAGGTTGGGGCTGGACTCACTTGGATGCCTTTTTTCTCATGTTTCTGGGTGGTGAGGCTAGCTATCAGAGGGAACCTCAACTAGATGGTTGGTCAAAGTACTGGTCCATGGGGGTCTCCATTAATCTCTCCCTGTGGGCTAGTTTGGGCATGATGGCTGTGTGCCAGGAGAGCATCTCAAAAGAGCAAGGGGAAGTGCATTACACCTCTATGATCTAACCTTGGAAGTCATATAGGATCACTTCTACCATACTCTGTTGGTCAAAGCGACCACTAAGTTGTACCCCGGTCCAAGAGGAAGGGACACAGACCAAAACTGCCAGGTGGAAGGAGTGTCAAGATCATACTGTAAGCAGATATGGGATAGGAGATATTGTTGGAGCCATTTGTGATAGATTCTATCACAGTAACTTTTGCTATATCTTGTTGTACCTCAAATACTAAGTATGTATTGCATTTGAGTGTTCGGTTAGACTTTATTTCTGATTGTCTATTTCAGATTATGAACCACAAAATGTTCAGTTAATTTACACAAGTTCTCCCATAGCAACTTGTACTTGACAATCATAGTATATGATATTATTACTAGTGCTGCAATTGCTGATAGATACATGCACTTAAGCAATCACTATTTTTTACATTTGTAATGTGTTGCAGAAAATCTCCACACTAACCAAAAAGACATATAGCATCTTTACAGTGCAAGTAAATTTTATTACTCCAATTAGGTCTTAGTTGCTTGAGAGGAGTACATAAAATCTCACAGTTGGCGGTGGGGTTGGGGAATCACTACCCTGAATAAACTATCTGGTTTCATCCACAATTGATCACTTTGGTTTCAATAGATTATTACACGGTCTAGATGAGTAATCTGTGTAAGATCTTGACCATGACTGTTGACCTCTTTTAAAAAGTGAACTAAAGCACTTCTCCCTTTTCAGTTGATTTCATAGGTGGCTTTGATTCTTATGGCTATCAAGGGCCTCAGAAGACATCTCATTTACAACTACAGCCTATGTACATGTAAGTACTGTACTTCAGAGATAATCTTCTGTGATCCTAAAAGATAATTAAGTAAACATTATTGTGGCACAAAATAGATGGCAAGGAGCTTTCCTCCAATTACATACTTCCAGTATTTTCTCTTCTATTAATATTGTCTTGGCTAGGATAATTCTATAACATTTTCTTCATAATTCTTTTTTAAATTTAACTTACTGAAATGCCATCTCTAAAGTTACCTTTAGTCTTATATATAAGTATCAAAAGTATCAACTACAGAGCTAAAAGGCCTTTATTAATATACTACTTCTTTGAATTACCCCAAATTATACGTTTTGAGAATGATATAACATGGGAGGTAGTTACATGTGACTATATATAAACTATATGTTCTGGCTTTCCCAGGAGAGTCTCGGTTTACATAGTTGTCCTGGCATAGTTATTACCAGTACCTCCTCTTCCTCTCAAAAGTATTCTCATTTGGACGATAAAAGATAGGTTATCAGTTATATATAGTATAACCCTAGTATATATAGTATAACATTAGTTATGTATAGTGTTAAAAAAATTTAAAAACTGAACAATATGCTCTGTATCATTTTTCTGATGTGAAAAGTGAAAATTAAGCCAGAAGAGTAACACTGAAATTTATCAGACCCTTAGCTCTAGCACTCAAGAGAGCAGACATACAATCAGAGCCTGATTTTTATATCTGTGTTTAGGCAAATTCCCTTGGATAACAACTGATAACAAATTCTATATATCAGCATCAAGTGATATGCTGAATTGCAAGCGAAGATCAAAATAGAAAGTAAGATTCCAATTCATTTTGAAATGTGAGCTTCTCTCTTTGAAGATATGTGTTTGTCGTCGTTGTCCTCCACCATTGAATCATTTTACCTTTTAAGATTGTTAATGTGTAGGATAATACATGGATTTTTAGAGTATTTCTCCTCCAAGAGATTAAAGTAATTTTTATACACCTCCTTGTAAGCTTCTCCTTAAAAGGGGAATGATCTATGTATCACGCCTGCGTTTTTCTTTGGAAGTATTTGGTAACACCACCCATAAAAAAGACTTTTTCGGTTCAGAATTCAGTCAGTATGATATGTCATTCAAAGCATCCCCTCTGCAAACAGTACATCACACATTTTCTTTTTAGTACCCCGCAATCACTGCCCTAATTCAGGCATTCATTACCTATTGCCTTCTAAATTTAATATCTCCATCCCTTCTTCCATGAGGCTGCCAAATTAATCTTCTCAAAGTACCATTTTGACTATTCCCTCCCTTGCCCCCAAACCATCAATGAATCCTTATTACCTACTCAGCAAAGTCCACTCTCCTCCCCATAAACTGCAAATAGACTCTCATCTGGCCCCAATATTCTGCTGAAATATTATCTCTTCTCTTCAACCCTTAACAACCCTTGACTGCCAATCATATGCAGAAGATGCTCAGAGACACTGGAAAAATGTAATCATGAGTAAGAATTAGCTCTGTCCTCCTGAAGCTTATACTCTACTGAAGACATTAACAGTCTGATATCTCCCCTTATCCACTTTTTTTTTTTGCCTGCCAAACTAGAACTCTTGATTTCTGCAAACATGATGTGTATTTTTCCAATTATCTACACTGTTCTCTTAACACCAAACATATTTTTTTCCAAAATGAAATCCCACTATCCCTCAAATTGTATCTTAAATACATATTTTATGGAAGATTTTTAAATCTCTTTTTCCTCTGATAGTTCTCTTTTTTCCTTTTACCTCGTACTGCAGTTGTTTTCTATTTAGACTATGTGTCTTCTATGTTCCCCGGAAGACTTGATAGCTTACACAAAAAGTAAAATGATAAATCTTTTAAATTCTTTACCACTCTTCTCAATATTGTAGCATAACCTTATGTAAAGTATTCCATTAAAAAATAAAGGCAAAGCAGTAAGGAGTAGTGGTTAAGATGACCTACAAAAAGCAGAGTACTGGAGATAAAATTCTTTATGACCTTGGACATACAATTTTATTTGAATAACTGTAACTATTCTCATCAAACCTAAGTTTCCTTATCTGCAAAATAGAGATTATATAGCCTACATGCTTCATATAATTATTCTGAATTTAGAGGCACATAAGACATAAAATATGCCACAGAGTAAATGCTTAATAAACATTAACTTATTAGTAGCAGCAACAATGCTATATTAATGAATATTACTAATGGAAAGACTTTATCAAGACAGAAATAAATATGTACTATATTTCGTTCCCAAAGGATTTCCTCTATAAACAATGTATCACATAGAATATCTACCCAAGTAACATGTAACAGTATGTTTGTACTTAAGAGTAGACCAGAACATCTACAAAGCTTGCAATTGTTTGCTTCTGACAATATTGCATGCATTTCTTCACCATGTAGCACTTCACTGTGCCGATCAATATGCACGATCAATAAATGTGACCAAGTTATAATAAATGACATGTAACCACATATGTAGGATTAATTACAATAATAACACAAGAATGCTAATTATAGACAATCAAGTATATTGTTTCAAATCAGGCATTTATAATTCTAATGTTGTCCTTAAAGAGGGGACTCTGCAAGTTTAATATCCAACATTAAATTCCTTGAGCAAAACTTCCCATGATTTTATTAAATATAAGACTTTAAATGCCAAACCAAAAGTAATAAAAATATTTTCTTCCTTACTGCCTGGGACTGATAAAAGTATCTAAGAAGTTTCAAGTCTTACTGCTCATGAAATAAGTAAAATATTTAATGAAATTCAAATTTAGGAAGTTAGAAATACTTGCATATAACCAATTGCTAGTCAAAATACAATCCTGTCCCTTCTACAAAACATCCCCTATGAGACTTCAAGTACTACAACACTAAGATTTTATTTTACAGATGAGGAAACTGGATGAAGAGAAAGGAAAACAGAGGTCCCATGACTTGGTAGTTGTACAACCCCCCATTATCAGCCAGTTTCCCTAACCCCTTAATTCCGTTCTCTCCAAATTCTCAGACAGACCTGCCAGTTTGCTCTGGCATTCACTGTGTTTCCTGATTTTCAGTTTATTCATTTATACTTCTCCACACTAACTTAGCTGCCATGCTTCCAAACAGGCCTGCCTCCCTCCCTTTCTCTGCACTCCCTGTATCCCCTTCTGATTTTACATTATGCCCTGAGGAATGAAGGGCTTTTTCAACGTGGTAGCCCTCGAAATCAGTCACTTGAGAGCCACTGCCTGTTCAGATCCTGTGAAAAGCCAAAAGGACTCACGCACAGACCTCATCCCCTGCTGAGAGGCAGGGACCCGAACATCTCCTGTGTCTTTGTCCTTTGGGTGTAGCTTTTCCTGTCAACCTGCCATAAATAAGTCTCATAAAGTAAGAGTAATTTAACATCACGGGCCAGTTCAAGCGCTTTAACGATATTATATAGCAACTGGAAATAAAAACTCTTTCTTACAAGGAAAGCAAATGCTTTAAAGTAATGTGCAGTTTTAGCTGTGGGGCTTCCATTATACCCAGTCAATCTATGGCTGAGAGCTTTGAAAACGCTGCCCTGACTGACTTCCATTTAGGGCCATGTTTCACCGCCTACCGTCACCCAACAGACCGTCCTCTTCAGTTAAGTTAGGCAAATGCCCTTGGCCTGTAATTCTTCCGATTATCTATCACTCATCCTAAAAGAAAAGGTTTTCATGAATTTATTTCTTAGGGTTTGGCACACCTCTTTGAAACAAATCATAGCTCTAAAGCTGCTGCCCCCACACATTCCCATGTCCACGGGTTAATTGTTTAACAAAGTAGGTGCTCTGACGACCCCTGACCTCCATGCCACTGTGCATAGAGCTCTGTCCCGGCACCATGCTATATAGACTGCGAGAATATCCCTTGGTATCTCACTGGTAACATCTGAAAATACTGCATTCTTTTTGGCAGGCTAATTGTACAGCAATACATATTCATTTCATGTGCCCCCAGAAATGGACTTTAAATGATCATAAGTGGCCTCTTTATCCAGGAGGTTACAGACTAAAAAGAAAAGGGAAGGAAAATTGTCTCTTTTAAAACAAAATTGGGGCTTGGACTTTTTTTTTTTTTTTTTTTTTTTTTTTTTAATTTTTGTTTGTTCTTGTGCTTGGAGAGGCGAGAAAAGGCACTGCGCTCTCCCCCTGGATTAAAAACATCTTCTCTCTCTCTCCCGTTCTCTCTCCCAGGTCGAAGTAATACAGATGGCTCCGGGATGTCAGCTCCTGGACCTTTCAAAGAACTTGATTCACAGTGGCCCCCTGCATTTTATGAAGAGCAAGAAGCAACTGAGTCTAAATATATATACATATTAACACAACAAACATAAAGCCTCCACACACACTGGGACACACACACACACGCACGCACACGCACACAGAGGCCCATACTAATTCCACTTGGCCTCCTTTTTCTAACTGAAACAAACATGCAGGACACGCCCATCTTGGATTTCCCGAGAGCCCGCTTCTTTCTCCTAGGCCTTCTGAAAGTTCTCAAGGAGACGTTTTGGCGCCCTCTGCTGGCCGTCACTAACTCCTCCGCAGCCCAGCCGGTCGGCCTCTGCCAGCTGCCAAGTCTTCGGGAAGCGCTTTAGTTGGAGAGCCCTGTCTTCTGGACTCCATACGTTTTGATAGCACCACGGCTCTGTAGGCAATGTAATTGCAAAAACAAACAAAACACGCCATGATGACCTTGTAACCGAAGTCCGAAATGGCAGGTTGTTTGCCCTCAAGGCTATACCGTACATACTTGCCTTAACCCACCTAAGTTGTGCGCCCGAGTCTCAGTGCAGACCTCCCCAAGTCCCTTCCTTTAGGCGAACGCACTGCTATTAATCCTGAATGAGTTCGAGTCTGTGTGTTTCATGTCAAGAAACAAGACTGCACAGCCCAGCAGCTCCAGTGTGTCTGTGTACAAAAGCTGCCCGCTGTCAGCAAAGTGCTTTACCATTGAACCTCCACGGTGGCCAAAACAGACAAGTGACAATAACAACAACGACAAAAATCGTCATCTTTATAATGCTTAAATATGGTCTTCTCGAAGGGGTTGGGTGGGACGATGTAAAATTTACTAATCTACTAAACTCATTAATCTACTGGAAGCAGAGAGCAGAAATGGCTTAACTCACTGATTTTATTTCTCGCACTCTAGGTGCTTTTATAAGTATCTACAAATGTCTTTTACTAACACAGAAACAGCTGTGGATTTCTATCAACAGAGGCCAACTGAATATGTATTAGCTATGTTTACTCTTTTATATCTAACTCAAACTGAAGACCCTACGTAGGTGAACTTTTTTTCCTAACTTCAGCGTACGAGATTATTTTTCGGGTGGGGGGGAGCAATAGTTACCTTGGTGAAATATTTGAGATCTCTTTGTGGTATTTGGGGGATCTGTTGTGTGTTAGAGTGTATTTTAATCCTCCTGTATTATTGTGGCAGAAAAACTGTGCTGTTAACGTAGTTGGCAACAAGATGCCTTTGGAAACTTAATAGTAGGTCAATGTGTTTATGGAATATTCTGAATTCCTAGGAAATTTTGTTCTATATATTCAAGCATTATTTGGTTTTCATTAGTGGAAAACATAATTAGCTCAGGCTTGTCAGGAACTCAGAAGACTCATATTTTTTTCTTGGGAAAATCCACCTGAGATGCTAAAATCAATTTTTTTAAACAAATACAACATCCTTAAATGCAGTGAATTTGAGACTTGAAAAGTTACTAACTGGCATGGAGCAATGTTTCCTCTTGGTTTCTATGTAGTTTCAGTTACTGGGTTAGCCTACTTTGGACCTTAGCCCATCCAGATCTACATAAACCAGTCCTATTAATGTGTTTGCATGGATGTCTGTGAAATACACACATACACATTTGAAAATGATAAAGGAACAAAGGTGATATTGGAACATAAACAAACAAACAAAAAGGTTCCAGCACTTGTGCTTGAATTTTCTCAGTGGCTTGTATATGTTTGTCCATACGTACAATGTATAAAATCTATAATTGCAAACATGTCAGTGAAACCTCATATGATGATTTTATAGTGACATGCATGTTTAATGTATGAGAAAAATATTTACCAATGTGTTGTCCTCTGATTCTTAAAATATAAATACTATACATGCCAGAAACTACTCATTTCATATAGTCACATTTTAGTGTGACTATTATAATGAGGTTTCACTGTACATTCATGCTGTGATGGGGTTCCACCTTCTAGGACATGTATATGGATAGAGATTTAAGTGCACAGACAACAAGCCCTCATATTCCTGCTTTAAGTTACAGCCAAGCTACCACCTAATCACTACTATCATCGCCACGAAAATTTTCAAAAACAGTTGTTGACTACTAAAAAGTAATCAGTGGACAGGTCCTTTTTTGGGAGCAGTGAGCACAGTAGTGTGATTATATCTGGAAAAACATCTAAGTTGTACAGCTGAATCCTCCTCAAAATCCGGTGAAGAATGCTATTTTTCTAGGCTGAGCTTTTGTTATAAACCTAATATTCAGAAGGCAAGAGTTACAATCCTGATGTGTCTTCTTTTTTTTTTTTTTGCGTTTGTTAATTCTGAATGTATTTTTAACAGAGTGATTTTTTTGACTTACTAGTGTAATTTGCATTTTAAAAATAAATGGAAAAACAATTAAGTTTCTGAGCCATTCCTGAAAACCCCTTCTCCTTCACCCAGCGTATTTGCTTATGTCATTGACAAGGAAACCCTATTAAATTTACATGTAGGCAACGCGGTGTTCTGTGCTATGCAGGGATGGACGCGTCAGCAATAAAAAGAAATTGCCAGGTCACGGCACCATTTTAGCTCAGTCATAGGTAGCGCGTACTTTCATTATCCACGAACACTAAGAGTTCTTTTACGAGACTGCTTGGAATAGACTTGCTGTCATTTAGAGAACTTCCCCCCCGCCTTCCATCTGAATTTTAGAGCATCGGGCTAATAGCTCACAGAGGTGTTCGGGCATTATATTAAAATTTTTTGCTTAACGTAGGCAGGGTTTTTCATTTTTTTAAAGGCCAAATTCTTTAAAATAAAATAATCTAACATGCATTTATTTACTATTCCTTTGATGACATAGTCTTTGACAATACTCTCAGTGGACAGTGCTGGGGAGGGATGGGCAAGTAGAGAAGATTAACCCCTGGCATTTGTGATTGCACAACCGTGATTTTCACTGTATGGATAGAAGCCTGGGGCCTTAGACTGCTCCAGGCTTGGACCATCTCAGGCTTGAGCTGCCGTTGGGGTTCTTCTCACTGCACAGACACACAGCAGCACCCCACCCCCTCCAAGCCAAAATGCAGAAATTGATTGAAAACAAAAAAGGCTTTGAGGCGGCATTCCAAGAAGCTGGAGATCAGCTTGTAGTATTTGACTTCTTGGCCACACGGTGAGTCTTATAAATGATCAAGCTTGTTTTTACTTTTGTTCCCTGTGTGAAAGGGATGTTGGTGTGGTTCATTGTGATGACTGTCAAGCTATGCTTCACACTGTGAGGTCAAATGCACACAATATCTACGTTGCATAAAAAGAGACAAAAGTTAATAAAGCAACTCTATCCAGGTACCCTAAGGAAGATTCCAGCATCTGGAGTTCTCAAATAGGGCGTGCATGTGGTAAATAATAAATGTTGTTATTTGTTGATGGTGCCAAGATCTTTGTTTGGTAACTGTTAAAATCATCATCTCTAATACAGTGAAGGAAACAGCCAGAATTCCATTGTATTATAATGAGTGGACCATAAATTCAGAAATACAAATTCATTTTAAGTAGGTCACACTGCAGAACAAACTTTTTTGAGATCCAAACCCATTTATTACAGAGGCAATAAACTAAGGCCCACAGAGGTAAGAAATTACTCTAGCTTACCATTTATCCTGAAAATGCAAATAACTCACCATTCTACACCAAATTCTGGAATGTGTACTCTGGTCAGAATAAAATAAACAAAATCGCAGGCAATGGAGATCTGTCAACTGATGCTAGACTGCTAAATCAGAATGAACCATGACAAGGAAGACCCTAAGACAGTATAAAATTATGAAATGTGTCCGAATTATTGTGTATTAAGTTCAATATAGTCTCAATGTGAAATACATTTAAATATGTTTTATTATCTTCTAATTCTTTTAAAAAACAATAACTCATACCCATATGTAAACATAGTCAACCAATTATGTTTGTTTTCAGGGTTAGAATTTTTTCTGTTATTTCTTTTTTTTCCTAAGATTTTATTTATTCATTTGAGAGAGAGAGAGAGAGAAATCACAAGCAGGGAGAGCAGCAGAGAGAAAGGGAAAAGCAGGCTCTCTGCTGAGCAGGGAGCCCAATGTGGGGCTCAATCCCAGGACCCTGGGATCATGACCTGAGCTGAAGGCAGAGGCTTAGCCAACTGAGGCACCTAGGCGCCCCCTGTTATTTCTTTTATAATACATTTATGAATAGTTAATATTAGAGAGATTGAGATTATTTTAACCGTTCCATCATGAAAATACTTACCATGATTGTCAAGATAATCTTCCTTCAGACATTTTATCTGTCTTCGGTAAAATTTCAGCACTAAACGCTTGTACTCAGAAAGCTTTGATATCGAGATCCTTACATTGTAAAAAATGAAGCCCCAGCTATCCTCATCACATGTGAATCTTTGCTTAGGATGCATAGTCAATCCTCTTTTCGTTCTATTACATCTTCCCTCCGCCCACTCCCAAGACAGGAAAGAACAAAATCTGTGATTGATATATTATGTCCAATTTAAAACATGCTAGTATCTTGAAACAATAACTTCTGATAACTGTAAGAGCAAAATCTCTAAGACATTTATGTACTCTCTGCCGTTTAATTCCAAAAACTTGAACTAGATACATTCAAGGGTCTCATTTGGCACTGGAATCTGCACAGGTATCATGAGTTATGCCTGCCACTGACAACAAAGAAAATGAAGGGAGCTTCCTCTGAAAAAGGAATAGAGGCACCGCTTTTTACATTGTTTAGAATTATAATGAAGGTTATTTTTAAAAATCCTCAAACACGGATTTAGAAGCAAAGGAGCCTGAAATTTTAATAGGGATTGGAAGTTTATTTCTATAAGATAAGTCCAGATGAAAAAATCCTTTTACGAGCCACATGCTGATGTTCTGACACAGCCCAAACCTTTATTAAAATTAATGTAAGCCTTCTCCATAACGAGAGCACAGAATTGCAGTGCCTTAATAATAAAACAGTTATACTTTTTAACCTCTCATTCTACCCTCATATGAATTGAAGCTGTAACAGCAATGGAATAAAACAACTCCCAAAAAAAGATTGCAAATTGATGCTGTCACCCCAAGGATGATGGATTGATTCAAT